AGGGGCAGAGAAAAAGAGAGAGAATCCCAAGCAGGCTCTGCGCTGTCGCCATGGACCCCAATGTGGGGCTCAATCTCATTAGCCATGAGATCATGACCTGAGCCAAAATCAAAATCAGAGGTTCAATGTACTAAGCCACCCAGGCACTCTGACCATTCTTTCTTATTTTTATTCTTATTACCATGCTTGGAATCTTCCAGCTATGCTCCCCCGCCACACAGTAGAATCCTACTTAATAGTTATCCTGACTAGAATCAAGCATGCATTTGACACCTTCTTTGGACTCTCTAATTTAAACAACTAGCCACACCATAATCTTGCTATGCATAGGCTGGGTTGAGTTATTGGTCCCTATTCTACTAGTTTTTTATTCTTCTCTTATGGTGCAGAACTGCAGCCCACAATTCTAAAGTAGATTATGAAAGATGTGAAACTTCACATAAAGTTCCAGTAAATTTTTATATCATTTAATGCTAAATCTGTTCGGATTAAAAGGAGGAAAAATAATCCCATCTCAGAGGTCTACGTTAAGAAGTCAAGCACAACAGTCTTTGTCTTTATTAGATGTATGAACAGAAAATGACAATGATATGCTTTAAATTAATGCAGACTGAGAAAATACTGTGATGTGAAATCTATTAAAAATTAAACTTTTTTTGAGTCATAGCTATTGCAGTACAATTCAATGGTGCAAAAATTCTAAGTCCTACTATTTCAGAAATTCTTCTAACTTAACAAATCCTCTCCCATAAAAATATAGACTCACATTTTTCTTAGAGTAATCATAGTTGGTTTAACTCTTGAGATACCTACTGGAGTTTCTAACTATATCTGAGAAAGGTGAAAACTATGGTAGTTACAGTGGAGGGAACAGGTGTCCATATTTTAGAGTGAATTAAGGATGAATTGACAGAGCACATGCAGTTTTTTTTTTCATCATCCCTGCAACTCTTGTTAGAGATCCAGTTCATTACTTTGCATGAAATCCTAGGATAGAAAACTCTTGGGAACAAGACTGGTCAGAAATTTGTATACATAAACATATATGAGATAAAAAAAATAACATAAAATTTATGTATTTTTTAAAAAAGCCACCACATCTATAAAATAGTCAATGGTGAATATTTTCTTATTCTCAGCCCCACATTTTATCCATTATGACTCATTTTTATTGAACTATGAGGCCAGTACGTAGTGATCAAGCCTATGTACATAAGTTACATATGTAGCAAAAGTGATACCAAAAAGAATAATTCCAAGTTTATGACTACAGTAAATCTCCAGTAATTTATGAAGCATTCTCATATTTTATAGCACAGAATGTTTTAGAACTGTGCAATTGATGATAAGGTGAATATTCCATATGAAATTTTTAAGTATTCTTGCCAAAAATGAGTGAGGATCATCTCAAACATGTTTTTATTTTAAATCACAGAAGACATCTAAAAACATATTGATATACCTTTAATATGTTCTTGACATTTTTAAGAATTAAGAAGTTCAAATTCAAGTATGCACTCCAAACAATAGACATTAATACTAGCATCTTGGACTTTGAAAAAACTGGGGACTTGATGAGAACTCACAGTGTCTCTGTAAAGGCATTTCATCCTAAATCATCCCTGACAGGTGGCACATCTGATCATGTATGGACATTTACAGAAGCTAGTTGCTCCAACACAACCCAGTAATTTCTGAACAGCTTCAAGAGGGAGGGGCAAGGAGAAGGAGGAAGCTACCTCTCATTTTATTTAATTCAAACCTTCCCCTTTGTCATATTCTTCTATGGATCTGAGTTCAGGATTTAGAAAGAACATTTTATTCTCTCTTCCATAAAATACCATCCCTAAAATTTCTTGTTAATATTTATTTATTTTTGAGAGAGAGAGAGACAGAACATGAGTGGGGGAGGAGGGGCAGAGAGAGAGGGAGACAGAAGCTGAAGCAGGCTCCAGGTTCTGAGCTGTCAGCACATAGCCCAATGTGGGGCTCAAACTCATGAACCAGGAGATCGTGACCTGAGCTGAAGTCAGATGCTTAACTGACTGAGCCACCCAGGCACCCCAGAACTCATTCTAAATAGTCAGTGCTTGGCTAAGAAGGTCAATGCTAATATAATTAAAAAAGGAAACGTTGATGATAGCCAAAAACTTTCAGTCACACTCATATCCAATGATCGTCATTGAGAGTGTGTTTTAACAGAACAACACTAAAAAGAAAACATGACCCCAGAATAAATGGAAAGAAAGCTTCATATCATAAAAAGGAAACTTCAGCACAAACAATACTAGAAATGTTTGTAGTTGTTAAAAATTAAGTTACTGTCAGTTGCATGAATTTAAGTCACGACTACTCCAAGCCTTCAGTTTTAAATTTGTCCAATAAGAAATAAGAACTTGAGGAGAACCTGGGTGGCTCAATCGGTTAAGCATCTGACTTCGGCTCAGGCCATGATCTCAGCTCAGGTCATGACCTGAGTTGGTTCGTGGGTTCGAGCTCCGCTTCGGGCTCTGTGCTGACAGCCAGCTCAGAGCCTGGAGCCTGTTTCAGATTCTGTGTCTCCCTCTCTCTCTGCTCTTCCTCCACTCATGTTCCGTCTCTTTCTGTCTCAAAAATAAATAAACTATTTAAAAAATTTTTTAAATAAAAAATAGAATAAGAACTGGAGGTGAAATAAGCTAATGTATACAAGACATGTTTACATTATAAAATGCTATATAAATTTAGGTATTATAAAACATATCTATATATACTTTTAATATTAACAAGTTTCAACAATTTATTCCTGAGCCAATCTTTCAATATATTGCAAACTATCTGTAATACACAATATATTCTAGAATGCAGAAAACAGTAGCCTAGGAGTGCCTAGGTGGCTCAGCTGTTTGGGCGGCCGAGGGCTGGGTGGCCAACTTTGGCTCAGGTCATGATCTCCTGGTCTGTGAGTTAGAGCTGGTGTCAGGATCTCTGCTGACAGCTCAGAGCCTGAAGCCTGCTTCAGATTCTGTGTCTCCCTCTCTCTCTGCCCCTCCCTGCTCACACTATGTGTGTGTGTGTGTATCTCTCTCTCTCAAAAATAAACAAATATTAAAAACAATTAAAATAAAAAAGAAAATAGTAGTCTATAGGTAGACACTATGTTATAGCTATTTTTCACAGAATTCCTTATTGTATGCGGCATTTACGTGATCTCTGAACAGAATGACAGTATAAACTTTCCCTTTTGCATTGAGCTTACTTTATGCCTGGACCACAGAAATTGGAGTCAGTTTTATCTCAGATAAAACAGAGAGAGACAGACTGAGAGACAGAGAAAGAGAAAAGGAAAGGAGGGAAGGAGAAGGGGGCGGCATGGGAGGAGAAGAGGAAGAGGAGGAGGAGGAGGAGGAGGAGGAGGAGGAAGAGAGAAGCAGAAGGGGAAGAGAGGGCGAAGGAGAGGAGGGGTGGGAAGAGAGAGAATGAGGAGGGTGGGCAGCACACTAGGAAATTTCTTCGAGACCCCCCCCACCCCATCACTACTCTGCATGCTGTGAGCTTCTGCCCCACTCCAAATGAAAGGGCTGCTGCTCCTGGTATCTCCCAGCTGCTCGACAGTATGAAAGTACTCTCTACTGTTAAATCATATCATATAACTAAGAAAGACAAATATTTTAAAGCAGCATTTTTAAAAATCAGCTGCCAGAGTCTCAAAATCATTCTCATAAATTCTATTAATTAAGCCATGGTGACCCCATTTTACCTCACAGAGAAGGAAAAGCAAAAATAGAAGAAAAAAGTTATATAGTGAACTTAAGGTCATTTTTATTCTAGGACTTTTAATCAGGGAGCTATTATTGTAGCAAGCAGATTAGACTATTTTCTTACCCCTTTTAAGATAAAATAGTACTGCTAGAAGTGTTAGATTAGAAGAAGAAAAACTATCAGAATGGTTGGATATAGCTTTATGCCAGTTAACTAAAAGAGGGATACATATATTTCAAAACTCTGACAGATTCAATCTCATCAAAACTTTCAAATGCTCCTAACCCCCAGATTTTGTTCTCTTATGGTAAATATTTTGATATTTGAGAACAAATCTTAAACATTCTTTACTTTCATATAAGTTTTCCAACTCCCAAAAACGTTTACTGAAATGATGTATTCATTATAAATTATGTTTTAAAACGCTGTACATGTGCTTCTTTTAAAATTCGTGACCATAAAAAACTCTTCAAAGACTCCCAAGAGTATCAGAAATTATATGCATATAAACATCACAGCGCTCTGAAGACAATAATTTGGGTTACATTAAATAAAACTGTTTTCCAAAGTCCCTTGACGTGTATATCCGGTCACTACGGCCTTAATTCACATACACATGACATAGAAGTCTTGTCCGTATTTAATCGGGAGGAGAAATTTCACTATAATAAAAGGGATACCTGAGATAGGATGTGGGTCAGAAAAAGTTGAGGCTGGAAGTCCCATTGCCACGAAAGAAAATATCCACTTACTTAACTACTTTACAAACCCTGTTCAAATAGTTAGAAACAAAGTCCTTAAAAAAAAAAAAAAAAAAAAAGATGATGTATCAGCTGCCCTCCAAAGTTCCAAGACGAACCTCAGCTTGGGAAACATGTCCATGCAGGGATAGAATGTGATTTGGAAAAACTTTTTATTATTCAATTCGTTAAAAGTTTGTCTCTGAAGGATTTCAGAACTCAGCCTGCAGTGTGTACGAGCGACAGCAAGTTCTCTCGGAACGAACGAACAATGAAAAACGCTTCAAGTTCTTTTGGGGGAGGTAGGAAATCCGCCCCCCCTCCCCCCTCCCTCCCCAGACAGGGCACTCAGGGCTTTGAAAGTGCATTTGCATCAAGCTTAGCCCTTCTGGCCCCAGAGCGCACTCCCCAAGGGCCAAGCCAGAAACCGGTCCCTGCCCGGACTGTCGGAAGAAGGGACCTGTGGGGGGCAGCGGCCCCGGCGAAGGAGGGAATCTAGAGCCCGTTCCTCGACTGTACCTCTCTGCTGATGTGCCTGCGGCTGCTGTTCCTGGCCGCCCCCGAGGCCCCCGCTGAGCAGCAGGGCCAGGAGGAGCCCGGCGGCCCCTGGCATTGCGGTGGCCGCGAGCCGATCCACTTCTCAGGAGCCCGAGGCGTCTCCGCCGCCCAGTTCCCCGGCCCGGCTGGTGAGACTAAGGAGCCGCAGCTGCTGGGTTAGAGGAGGAGACAGCCCCCCTCCTGGCTGGGGCTCTGCGGCCGCCGGAGGGTGGGGGGAAAGAGAGGACACTCCCCCTCCCTCCCCTTTCCCGGCCCCCGTCCCACCGCAGTCCAGGCACAGGCCCTTAAAGGGTCCTCAGTGGAACAGACCTTTCCTAGAGCCGCCCTTCCCTCGGAGAAGGGATCATTCCTTAGCTTCGTCTTTAGCTGAACTGCTTTTAAATTAGAAGAGGTAATTGATAGGAAAGCACTGTGTGATCTGTAAAAATCTCTACACATGGGAAGCATTATTTGTAGGAAATCGGCACAGCTGGGGACTTGGCCCGGGCGAAGTCAATGTACCTCCTGAGAAAGGCCTGGCAACGTTGTGTGCAGGCACCGGCTCCCACCGTGGATCCAAGGGATCCATCGCCAGGCCCAGGACCCTCCCGATGGCCTGGGTGGCTGTGAAGTTACCAGGGGGCAGAAGGTGGTCCTGGGCCCCAGCGAGTCAGGCCAGGGGACTTATTTACTGCTTGATAGACAACTTGCAGGGAAACAAAGGGTGGGACAAAATAAAATAAACTCCCTTGCTCCACTGCAATGCTTATGGCCTATATAAAGGTTAAAAGCAAGGTTTTCAGTTCCGTCACTGGACATTTATTTAACTTGAATAAAGACCTTAGGGAGCGTTTCCGTTCAGGCTCCAACCTTCGTCTCTTCCAGTCCCTACTGCTTTTCTTTTAACCCAGAATTTCTGCAACTTTTCCTGCCACCCCAGGGTCAAATGACAGCTTCTTACTAGTTTTGTGTTTGTCTGTGTTTTGTGGTCTGAGGTTCTCAGAGTGCACCAAGCCTCCTTACTGGGTCTTTATGGGACTTGAAGGAGGTCTTCCCGTTCACTCAGTGACTGGGGTACTGCTGACTTTAGTGTGCGCTGGGGACACACTGCTACTTGTCCCATCCTGGATGGGACAATCCTGCTAACCAGGGACTTCTGAAAGGGCCGCGGGCATTCATTCACCCAGGTGGAAACCCCTGGATTATATTTGATGCCTAATTTAAGAGTATGTTGCACATAAAATGTTTTGCACAGTTTCTGTTGTCCAGGAAGCATCTACCACATAAAGTGAGGAAATCATATACTTTGTGTTTCTGAACTTTACCGAGATGTGTTTACCAGCTCTGAAAATTACAGCACTGATAACAATTCTGTTCATGGCAGTGTCCCCAGGACAACACCGGAAATATCTGGGAATAGGTTCTGGCTTCTATTTTTGCTTTCATTTGCCTGCTAAATCTAGGCAAACTACTAAATGTAGTTTTACCCAAGCATTTACATAATGAAATGTACATTTTTCTACATAGATTACTTTTTTCCTTTTTTATTTTATACTTAAGCCATTATGTTGATTTTTTAAATACTATGTTGAAGTGATATTATTTATGAATTTCCTTTCAACCAAATCAAGGAGGTATTGTTCCACCCAGGACTGATTGAGAACATCTGGCCAAATGGTGCCCAAGTAAATGGATAACCCTCAGCATTACCCATCTCTTTTCTGTTAATATTAGTACTAAAAAAACTCCACAATTTTTTTTTCTTTACTGTGGAGATTGCAAAATGGAGTCCGGCCCAGGCCTTGAGAATAAGACTGTGATCTCTGCTGTCAACTACTTGTGTGATTCAACATAGGAGGAAAAATACAAAATTATTTGGCCAAAATTAAGATATAGAACCAGTATTATCAGAGAAAGTTTTTAGAAATAAACCTAATTGAGGTACAATTTACACAAAATAAATGCACCCTTGTGATATGTTTAAAAAATGTAAACTCCCATTTGACAATTACCCCAATTAATATGTAGTCCATCACTCCCCCAAAGTTTCCTTTCTGCCTTTTGCAGTAATTTCCCTAACCTCCACCCCTAGAGCAGATAGCCACTGATCTGATTTCTGCCACCATAGATTATATTAGCTATTCACAAATTTCGTAGAAATGGAATAATATAATAATGTCTTTTCTTCACATAGCACAATATTTTGGAGGTATAGTGATGTTATTTATGTGAATAGTACATTCCTTTTCATTGGTGAATACTGTCTACTCTATGGATATATCACAATTTATTTATACATTTACCAGAAGTACATTTGGATTGTTCCAGTTTTGAGCTATTAAAAATAAAGTTTCTATGAATATTTGAATATGTGTGGAAGGACATATGTTTACATTTCTTAATTCCTAAGAATGATATTATTGGGCTGGTTTGTGGGTAGGATATTGTTTACAATACAGTTATATCATTTTAAACTCCCCCAATTATATATGAGAGTTTCAGATGTTCTGCATGGGTACCAACACCTAATGGTATTTAATTCTACCTTCTCTAGAGGTTGCATAGTGGTATCTCAATGACCTTGTCATTTGCATTTCTCTGATGATGCTGAAAATGTTTTGATGGGCTTATTTGGCATTTATATTACTTTTTTGGTGAAATGTCTGCTCAAACTTTTGTTCATTTATCATAATTGTTCTATTTTTCATATTTTTGTTAAGTTGTAAGATTTAAATATATTTCTGCAGAAAAGTCCTTTGTTTAGTACACTTAATACAATGCCTACTGTTCTCAGTACATAGCTTGACTTTTCAATTTCTTGACTAATGTTGGAGGAGGTCATCAAGAGGACATGACTGCTAGTTGACCTGTGGGCTGGACCCACGCAACTAGAGGCTCCTTACCTCCTCCTGTGTCCTTGGAATGTGCATTCTGCCTGCCCTCCCAGCACTAAAGCTGCCTCAAGGACGCAGCCTAGAGATAGCAATGTGTTGTTGAGAACATCTGGACGGCATGCATGCCTTACTCTAGTGAAGCCTCTATAAAAGCTTAAGATTCTGACAGGTGGATGGGGAGATCTACTTAAGGCTGCCCAAGACAAGCCTCATACGTAAGTACCCTTGCTCATTAAACTTACTGCCTTCCAATCTTGGAGGACTCCACCTTTCTTCTGTCTCTCTTTGCCTTCTTTGTATGGGTGCCAGTTTGCAAACCAACAACTGCTTTCAAAGAACAGAATTGTTTAATTGTGATTAAGTCTAATTGATTAAGATTTTCCATTTATGCTTAATACTTTCTGTGCCCCATTTCGGAAATCTTAGCTTATCCCAAAATTGTGAACATGAGCTTCTCTATTTCCTTGAGATTTTGTAATCATAGCTACTACATTTGAGTTTATGATTTATTTCAATAGATTTTGATGTTTGCTATGAAGTAAAGCACTTTAGATATGAACTTTCTTTTTTCCGTGCAGATAATCCATTCATTTCTGCACTGTTTGTTGAGACATAATTTCCACATCCAATTACCTTGTCCCTTTTTTCAGAAGTTGATGATATGTGGGTCTACTTTTGGACTCTCTAAATAGACTTTTTATGCCAATATTACAGTCTCTTTATTACGGTAGCTTTATAATAGTCTTAAAGTTGGGTAGTGTAAATTTGACAATTTTATTTTGCAAAATAAAACTCTTGACTATTTTAGGTCCTTTGCATTTCCATATACTTTTAAAAATCATCTTATGAATTTCTACCCCCAAAAAATAATGTCATAGGGAGTTTTGGTTGGAATCTATAGATTAATTTTGGAGGAACTGATATTTTGGCAATATTGAGCTTTCCAATCCATTAATGTAGCGTGTCTTCGTTTATTTACATCTTTGATATTCTAAGCAGTGCTCTGTAGTTTTCAATGTATGTGTCTTTAACATACTTCCTAAAATTTACCTCTCAGTGTTTTGTGTTTTGCTATTATAAGCAGTATTTTTAAATTTAATTTTTCATGCTAATAGTAATACAATTGATTTTGGTTGTATACGTTGGATTCTGCAAAGTTGTTAAAATTACTTCAAGTAGCTTATAGGTGGATTCCTTAGTATACTCCAATAATAGGATCATTTAGGCTCAAATTTAGTGTTTCTTCTTCCTTTTCAGTCTATGTGCCTTTTGCATTTTTTCTTGCTGTATTGCACTGAACTTCCAACATAAAGTTGAATAGCAATGGTAAGAGTAGACATTTTTGGCTAGTTTCTGATCAGAGGGGAAAGCAGTCATTCCCTGACTATTAAAATGATGATTACAGGTTTCAAATGTGCTTATTATGAAGTTTCAGGAAGTTCCCTTCTTTTGCTGAGAGTTTTTGTAACAAAAACATATTAAATTTGGGCAATGCTTTTTGTATATTTATTTAGATAAACAATTTATTTCTTTTTTTGGCTAACATGGTGAATAATAGTGACTGATATTTCAATATTAATCAAATCCACAGTCCTAGCATAAAACCCAATTTGTCATGATACACTATCCCTTTATACATTTGTCATTTATATTTACTAATATTTAGTTAAGTATTTTTATATCTGTTCATGAGAGATGTTAGTCTATAGTAATTTTTTTAATAATAGTTAAATCTGGTTTTTTAATGCTAGCCTTTTATAATTATTTGGAATATGTTTCTTCTGAAAGAGTTTGTGTAGAATTTGTATAATTTCTTCCCTAAAGTTATTCCCTAAATATTTGACAGACTAATTGATGAAACCATCTGGGCTTATAGTTTTCTTTATGGGAGAGCTTTATTTTTTTACTACAAACTCAATGTTTTAAGTAGATATAGAATGATTCAGATTTATAAGGAACTCACCAAACTCCACACCCAAAAAACAAACAACCCAGTAAAGAAATGGGCAGAAGATATGAACAGACACTTCTCCAAAGAGGACATCCAGATGGCCAACAGACACATGAAATGATGCTCAGCATCGCTCCTCATCAGGGAAATACAAATCAAAACCACACTGAGATGCCACCTCATGCCAGTCAGAGTGGCTAAAATGAGCAAATCAGAGAACTCTAGATGCTGGCGAGGATGTGGAGAAACGGGCACCCTCCTACACTGCTGGTGGGAATGTAAACTGGTACAGCCCCTCTGGAAAA